TTCTGTAGTGTCTGACATATCTTTCCCCATTGTCCATCGACGTCGTCTGTTGACGTTGTCCAAAAAGAGCCGATTCCAGTACCGCATCTAAATCAGCTAATATCGATCCTTACGCAATCGATTCCTTAATGACACAATCCTGAAAGCTTCGAGTCCCCGCGCTCTCCTTCCAAAATTTTGGTGTAAATAGCCTGCCCCGACCTCTCCCCCTGCCTTAGTCATGCACCGAGGTAGCGGCTCACGACCTCTCCACCATGACCTCCAGGAATGACGATAAGGGACCAAGTCCCGCCAAACGTGCCCGGTCTGACAGGGACAGGTACGCCGCACTGACCTCATAAGGACCGAGGGAACAGCGGTCACCTCGGTTCGGTCAGACGCCATCCCCACCATGTCGTAGGGAAAACATGATACCGCCCAAGCGGTAACGGTCGGTATGATGGCCCACCGTCCACATACGGTTCGACAAGACACATGTACGTTTCCACCCACTACTGGATGGGAACCACGATGGAGGGCCTTGAGGCCTCCCAACCAACCAACAGAGGCCATGACCGAATATGAATAGATGTTGAGTTGGATTTGGCAAAGCCATAGAGAGTGTAAGGAAAATGGACCCTAGGCCCATTTACTTTGGATTTTGGTGTTTGATGACCAACACAACCAAATTGGACTAATGAATTTGCAAGTGTTTGTTTTGTAGTTCAATAGGGTGCAAGATGTGACTTGGACGAAGGCGACGTAATGATCCGATGATCAACACCATAAGCAAGACCTTAGGAGCACAAGAAAAGATCCAAGATATCAAGCAAAGTCCAAGCACGAAGATAGGAACTAAGCCGTATGCAAGATCGCGAAGAAACGAGCTCACAGAGGTGACCGGACGCCGGACCGAACGTTGGCGAAAGCGACCGGACGCCGGAAGAAGCGATCGGAATCTAGGCTTGGGCAAACGGGCGACCGGACGCCGGATCGGATGTCAGGCGGTAAAACCGACCGGACGTAGGGACAGCGGCGTCGTCCGATCGAGTATAGAGAGGGTCTAGAGCGGCGATATTGCGACCGGACGCATCCGGTGGCAAGTGACTAGACGCTGGCAGCGTCCGATAAGTAAATCGCGGGCTTCAATGGTCGGGACGACCAGACGCGTTCGGTCAGACGATTTTTCAGCGTCCGGCCGATGAGCGTAAAAGCGGATTTCGTCCCCAACGGCTACTTTCTCAACGGGCTTATAAATACAACCCCAACCGCCATTTGAGGTGTGTGGAGCCGAGGAAACATACCAAGGGTGTTGTTACACCATTTTAGTAATCTCCACTTGCATAGTGATTAGTGTTTTATTAGGTCATTAGCGTAGGTGCTTTGCGGCGCTTAGGTTGATTAGACCACCGCTTATGCGCTTGCTCTAGGTTTAGGCCTAGTGTTTAGTGAGGTTTGCATACCTCTTACCGCCTGGGTGCTTGCGAGCACCATTGTTGTCATCGAAGGGGCTTGTAGTCCTGCGAGATCACACCAACCACGTTTGTGGTGTGGCCCACCACTGTCTGGAGGGAACAAGGCCCGCGGCGTTTCGGCCGGAAGCTTGAAAGTGAAGACGGCGGGGAGCATCCGGGAGAGGCTTGCCAGAAGGCACGTCGGAGACCCACTAGTGTGTGGGGAAGGCCCGAGGCTATCCACGGAGTTACCCGACCGGGAGCTTGGCCCTTGCGAGGGATTCCTTACGAGGGGCTCCAACGAGGACTAGGGGAAAGCTTGCGCGCTTCTCGATACCTCAGTAAAAATACCAGAGTCGTCGACGGGAGTTTGCATATCTCTACCTTGCTCTTTAACTTCCGCATTTACATTGTTTATATTATTACTTTTGTGGTAGAGATAGCAACACATTAGCAAAACCGTAGTTGCACATTTAGATAGTTTATCTTTTGCATAGGTTTTGCTAAGGTTAAGAAAAAGAGGCCATAGTTTAGAGTTAGAATTTTAAGTTGCCTAATTCACCCCCCTCTTAGGCGTCACGGTCCTTTCAGAGAGTTTGTTCCCGTTTGGTGTCCCAAATGAAACACTACCAAAATGGTGGAATTCCCCTAGTGTTTTTAAATAGTAATAAAACACTATCACTAGTCATAGCATCAGCAAGAGTCCACGCCTGGAAGAAGGCAAGCGTCGGGGCGCCGCCACAACAGGTGGAGCCATTCTCGGACTTGGCCGAGATGGTGGGAGGCATGCACCGCAATCGTCATTGCTCGGACGAAGGGGTGCCACCGCCATTAACACCGCACAGAGCTAATCGGACTCGCAATGCTGGGAGAGCGCGCGCACCGACGCCGACAAACCGAGCCACCTTAGACCCCGTAATTGCCGACGCCATCACTTCACCCAAATAGCACTCGCCTCCCGATGATTGGCGAGAGAAGGCCCTCAACGGCCGGAAGTCGACTAGAGAGCGTAATGAAGGAAGGACGCCCACCGGTCATGCAGCCCCGTCATCGCCAAGCCTGCCCGCCAAACCTCGCGCCTCGCGCCGCTATGAGACCCTCGCACACGAAGAACACAGCATGCTGCCCCACCGCCATCACGCTGCGGGCCAAAGTGCACGCCCCACGCCCATGCAGAGCCACCCCAAACAGCCCCACGTTCGCCTCGATAACAGCCGGCAACGCACCGGCGGCACCCTTGCCCGCCGCCTAGCCGATGCCCACCGAGCAGCCATAGCACGCTCAGCTAGCACCATCTTGCCGGGCGCAGAGCCGGACCGGAGCTCCAACGTCCCGACGACGCCCCACGCCGGGGCATCGCCAGGAGGGAGCCTGCAGCAAGCGCCGATCCGGGCACAAGGCAAGGCCACTAGATCCGGCCGCGGAAGGACTAGTACAGTGCCTTCCATCCGCCCCACCGGCTATCTGAAGTAGCAGGAGATGAGGAGTAGGTGCGGTCGCCGGCTCCGTCGGAGAAGACGAAGACGGGGTTGGGGGCACCGGCCGCCGTTGCACGACCGCACCATGTGGATCCTGTCGCCTGTGAGACAACGCCTTGGAGCACCAGTGCCACGTAGCCCCGGCTGCCTGGAGCCGATCCCACACAGGAGGGCTAACGAATGCAGGGCGAGGTCCCCGCCATCGCCGTCCTTGGGAACCGTGCGGGACTCCCGGCAGCTTCCTCTGGCAGCGACGAGGGAGAGGGATGGGAGGGGTGATCGACCGCGGTGGCGGCTAGGGTTGCCGCCCGACTTGCCCATGCGGGAGGGCGATGCGGGGGTTGCGACTCACTCTGTAAATGCACTTGTCCTGATTGATCGTGAACTGCATTTTGTCACGATCGATACAACAACCCCCTAGTAAACACGGCCCACCAACCGAGAAAAACAATTTTTTTGTATCTTGTGAGTCCGGATATGGGCATCTAATCCGAGATTTTATTCAACGTTAATGATGGACAAAGAACAGATATGATGTTGGTAGACGCGAGTTGTTCTAACTCATATGAGTGTGGGTCATGAATCCAAGTTACATACGAGAGATACGTAAGGTCACGAGTCCGAGTCTTATACGAGCAATTGAGGGAGTGCAGTTTGGGAAGTAAAAAAAGCGGATAGAAGTAGAGATGGCAAAGGGGCGGGTGGAGCGTCTGCGGGCAAGATCGGCCCCCACCCCCGAACCCGCTAGATCCCCGAAACCTGACGGGTTTCACGAAACCCGTAAAGTCTACAATAGGGAAAGGGCAGCGGCAACCCGGCAGATGGTAGGGGCAGCGGCGAATCGGCAGGGGCAGGGGCAACTGGCGCAGCAGGGGCAATGGCGGCAGGTTGAATCGGCACCCAGCGAAGGAGAGCGGGCTGTGGGTTGGGGGAGATGCACGCGGGTGATGAGTGCCGATCTCTTGTGTCGGCGGCGAGCGAGAGAAAGCGTGCGAGCCGCAAGGGCCATGAGGCGAAGGGCAGGGCACAATGCAGCAAATTGCAGGATGGTAGGGGCTCAGCTGGAATAGACCGACGTGTGAGAGGTCGGATTCGATATCCGCCAAGTGTGGCTGCCTCTGCCGGTCCACCATGAGTCTTTGGGTGGGGCGCGCTAGTGGAGAGGTGGCGACGGCTACAAGCTAGGTAAGTGGTGCCTGAGTAGTTGCGAATTAGAGACGGGGAGAAGTTAGCCTAGGGTTAGTCTATGGGCTTTGGGCTATACATGTATATGGGCAGATTTCAACCAGCAACGCCAGATATTCGGGGGCCCACGGCGACCCTCGGGGGAATTATAAAACCAGCACCCGCCCCGACCCGATTCGGGCCCCTGACCTGCAGCCGGGCCCCCCAACCGCATACCCCGAGGGGAGAGAAGTAGACCACCCCCCCCCCCCGCCGTTGTGAATTAAACGCGTGGGTTTCGGGTCTAGACCTGCCCGTGCTGCCATCCTTAAATGGAAGAAGCTCTCCACTGTCTAGGTAGTTACGGAGACGTCGACGAAAAAAGTGGGTTAAAATTTTGGCTTTTTAATATTAGATATGGATAAGGGCATGACTATGAGCAGTAAATAAAACACTAGGAACAACTACAAAGAAGATCCAAATAACTCAAAATCTAGCACCAATAGGCACCTTATATTGTTAGGGAAAAAAAAATCCGGTGGGTTTCTTATTTTTCTGACTAAAATGAGCTAGGTATGAATTTTATAAGATAAAATTAGCTTTTATTATTTTCAGTGAATACATAAGCACCATTGTAAACAGCTGGATGGTCAAAATTTTCTAGTATTGACAGTTCATTATTGCTCAAAGATTCCCAGTTACGCAATGCATGGAGGTAGCTAATTTTGGACCCCAAACGTAACATAAGCTCACCCACGAATCTCCATTGGCCTTAGCTACGCTATATATATCAGCATCCACTATTTATAGAAATGCCATCCATGGTTAAAACGGCTGGCGATTGAGCAACTCATCAACGTAGGCCCGCAAAACATCATCTTCTTCTCTCCCAATCAAGTCCTAGCGAAGATATATTATGGCACTAATGGCCAAGATCCTCCTACTGATCATTGTTGCTATTACACTCACCGCAGAAGCAGCTCCACACTCGGCGAAGCTCAAGAGGGCCTTCGATGGTGTCATGGCTGCTGCTCCACCAGGGAATGATTCCGAAGCCGCTGAAGCCGCCGTGATGGAGCAGCAACTTCAAATTCTAGCTGCTGTCGCTCTGGCAGAGAAAACAGGAGGTAAGGAGAAAGTTGTAAGCTTGACCGGTTCGTATGAGAAAGCTGCCGACCAGGTCATTGCGGCGCCACCAGCTGATAAGCTCAAAGTGATGAAGAAAGAATTCACCGCGGTAACAGATGCAGCATGAGTTCGTGCAGACATGCATCGACAAGGCATCTACAGTAATATATATATATATATATATATATATATATATATATATATATATATATATATATATATATATATATATATATATATATATATATATATATATATAAGTGCCACTGCTTGCCACCCACTACAGAAGAAATGCTAGGAATAAACCATGTGTTGCGCCACCTTTGTTATTTTTCTCTCCGTTTGTTTGGAGTTTGTACGTACGTGGGATCATAGTGGGAGACAGAGGCGTGCGATTCCGGCCAGTTCATGTTGTGTCCGCGTCAACACAGGCGCACATTTGTTTCTCATATTCCTTTTTTTGATTTATCATGCATTTTTCTATTCTTTTTTTGAAACATTCTTCATGCGCTACGTCGTTCTTGTTCATTGTTCATGGTCACTCCTTTAACATACACTGCAGTATATGTACTTGAGCTGCAAGAAGAAGAATAATAGCAACACTACGCCACAACAGGCAATCACTCGGAGCCACGGGGTATGCCGGGCCTGTTTGACCGGCTAGTTAATACTAGTATAATATACGTATTATACATCTGTTTTTTTATAAACAAAAGAAGAAGAAAAAAGTCACCTGGATCACGCCACCACGGAAGCACGAAGGCCTAGGATGCGGCGGCCCACGCAGCAAGAGTGGCTTCTCGTAGTATTCTAATCTTTGTCTCAATCGCCGATTGGGACATTTGGAGGCCAGAAGAAATCACCGAACAAACCGCCGCCACGACGCCCTGACAGCTGACGACGACGCCGTCCCGGTGAGGTGTGACGCTGTTACGGTGACCGGAGCTATCTGCCCTGCTGTCCCTCCACCGATCACTCGTCTTCGTCTACAGTTTGCACGGCTCCTTAGTCACGAAAACTCCCCGATTCGCTATCTCTCTTAGACAAAATTTAATATTTTGCTCTTCGTCATTTTTAGAAAATTATTTATCTACTTTTGTAGCTATTCAACATCACAAATAACACATTGTTTAGTTATATAGCATTGTGTTTTTTTAATATTTGTGCAGTTATAAAGAGAAACTCGGATATTGCATCTTTTTTACATGATTGTCTAGTCACTTTCATTGGATGTGATATTTTCTTTGAAGTTGATGAGGATGGTATAATCAAGACATTCATGTCCCTTTCAAAGCATCGAATAAAATAGTCAGAAAAATAACATGGTAAGTCTCTAGTACTCTTTTATGTCTATATTTGAATTTATCGGCGTGGCTTTTGAATTTATATTGTATTTAGTAGATGGTTTCAACTTAATCCATAAATATAAGCCTTATCGTGTTACTCAGTGCATGTATACCGAATCATATTATCAATTTTGCAATTATCACTGAATTGCTAAAACAGATTTATCAAATTGCATAATTTTTTTTGAGCGGCATACCCTTCGCTAAAATCCTGGATTCGCCATTGTTACTGCCCAAGTATCACTGCAGGGTGGTGCTGGAGCCGGCAGTGATTGCTTTTCCCTGCTGGTTCGTAAGCCTAGGATCCAAAAATTTCTGGTAAAGCTACACACTATGTAGTGAAGGCACCTATCTCTACCGGCTCAAACCACCACCCGACAGTGATATATCACTTCCCAGTCAATCCACAAATCGGTTGTGATTAGTGTAATAATATCACTACCAGCTTAGGCTATATCACTGTCGGGTCAAGGTACAACCCCGGTAGTCATATTTTTGTATCACTAACAGGTTTTATATTGACCGGATATATAGTGTTATCTGCCATTGGATCCGCCTAACATATCAATTGATCGACTATCCACCATTGGATATACCTATCACAACTAGTTCTAGTTATAGAACCAGCGTCCGGACGCCTCCACGGATAGAGGAGGTCCACTGCATGAGCTGGACACTAGTAGTTCCACAAATTGGTTCACCATTTGTGTCTAGTCTCAGTATCTGCTCTCTGTGGGAGAAAACTCTCCTCATACAGCTTTCGTTAGTAGTCAAGATGGTGCACGAGAGGTATTAGAATAATGTTTGTGAATATGTAGCCACGGCGAAGCCAGGGCACACTGACAACAATAATGCAAGCGTGATCTGGTTGGTTGTTAATTTTGCGGCAAGCGCGAGGCATGGGTTCATCATGGCTAGCAGTCATAATGCACCCCGGTTGGCTCATCACAGCTCGTAGACATAGCATGGCTCCGACGCCCCCACCGGCATGCTCTTGCACCTTCAAGACAACCGAGCTCATAGCCGTGAGTTCCTTGTACTCCATCTTTTCCGACAATGATCAACAAAGCAAAAACAAAAGCAATTAATAAACAATAATATGAATGTTGACAATAAAAAAAACTAATAAAAAACAAGTATTTTTATTTTCTTAATTCAAATAAATTGTTTTAATGAAAACAATTAGCAGCAAGTAATATCTTACCTATTATTGTTCATGTAAACTCAATCCCGTTTATTAAACAATAATATGAATGTTGACAATAAAAAAACTAATCCAAAACGCTAGTACTAGATCAAACCAATCCCTACCTAAAAACAAATAAATAGAGAGCTAAAACCAAGACATGGCCACTAAAAAATCATAGAATCTTATTCCCTACTAAATTCACCCTAATACCTTCAAAGATTTTGATATAATTCGATCCATAAGTTCCTCAATCACCATGGAAGAGAGACAAAATGAAAACCCTAACTACACACTAATCTACCGCTAAAACTTCAAAAACAGGCTTGGAATAGCATTTACTTAGTGTCGGATGTTTGGGCCAGGGGTACCCGCACCGCCTGTATATCCGGCCACGACCAGCTATCGGGCCAGAAGCCATGGCAAACGAGGGCCATGAGGGCTGAATGAAGCAACTGACTTGAAGATCAAGGCACGCCGAGAATATTCGGAGCCGACATATCTGGAGGATAGCATTGGATCAATCCATACGCATTCCGCGTAACAAACTAAGAAACCAATATGTTAGCCGATCGCCCTCATTGTAACCCTACCCCCTCAGTCTATATAAGGGAGGGTTCGGACCTCGCAATCGGGATCCATCTCATTCCTTTCATCCCATCTACTATGTAGCTAGGAGCAACAACCCCTATAGTCGACCATACAAATACGAGAAGAGCATCATCACCCCAACTAGACTAGGGCACCTCACGTCACTCGAACCAGTGTAAATCTTGTGTCTCGTGTGTTACTATATGAATCCTGTTACACAAAGTAGTTGCTAGGCATTGCCAGAGCTAAATCATATGATACTTACCTCCTAATGCCTCCATCACCAAAGGAATAAAAATCAAAACCTCCCCCTTAGATTTGCATTTTTTTGGGGTAGCCCAAAGCCCCCTTCCTTCCTCCTCAGGTTACAGTAAAATTCCCAAGGAAGAGGAAACAGGGCAACTACATATAACATGTGGCTTTTTGTTGAGAATTGTTTCTGTCGTAGTGATTCACAAAATGTTTGTTCCACTACTACAAAAAAGATTTTGCGAGACATTGCACAAACATTAAGGGAGGCGGTCACAAAATTCAACCAACATGCTACTCGTAAAATGCCTAAGGATTTTTGGAGGTCATTGTTTTCTGTTGGGGAGAGACACCCTCGCCGTGAACCCCCTATTAGCTCCATGGCCTTTGTGCAGCTTCCGCTCTCCATTCCCGCCACGAAATGTGGAAAGTTATGATCTCACCCCACGTCAGCGTTTTTCATCTCACTTGTGTCTCAGGATGATGGGAAAGCCGAAATCGCCGCTACCGGTGACCTTCGGCTCGACTTCGAGGTTTCTTGGAACCCCGCGACCTTCGAGCTAAATCTGGTGCCTCGTCGTGCTAGCAAAGGACGGAGGGAGACTCTGCCCGGAGAAGTTAGGGTTTGAGACGCAATGTACAGTATTGCCCCCAGGTGACCCCGTAGGTAGTGTCATACGAGGGCGAGCCCTAATGTAATTTGGCCATGCCTCTCGGTATGGTCTATAAATACCGAGAGGCACCACCCCCAGGGGGGACTTTTTTGTGACAATAAATTGGAATTTACTCCACGCTCATTTTCAACACTCGCCCGCCCACCACCATCGCAGCTTTGTTACCAGCCTCACCCGATTCCTATGGTAAACCCTTGTCCTCCCGCCTAAGCTCCATGCGAGGGCGGGAGACTAAATCTGCGAAACCCACAACCGGCACCGTCCGTGGGGATCGAACAAAGAATTACCAACAATGGCAGCCACGAGGAGGGCAACCTCTCATAGCCACCATCGCTGCGTCAGGGATCACGACCTTCGCCGGCGTAACAAGTAACTACGTCGACGTGTAGCCTACCGGTCCACCCGCGGGCGGCTCAACGGGGCAGAGTGGGGCAGTCCCACAAGGGTCCGTCGAACCGTCATCGCCCAGACCCCAACCCCATCTGTTCATGTCCGGCAAACCACGCGAGGAGCCTTCCGATGACGAGGAGGCTAAGACGACGGGCCTCGAAGCACCTCGTAAACTGCCTAAGGATTTTCGAAGGCAGATGTTTTCATTTATGGAGGCGGTCACAATTAAACATCTCGCAAAATGCATTTATGGAGGCAGTACCTAAAATCAATTTATGGAGACGGGCCTCCAAAATCAGGCCAATTCCACCCCAGTAGGCCCGTTGCTTATGTCCACATATATAAGCGTGACATAGGGTTTTCTGCTAAAAAAGCATGACTTAGTGTTTGGGAGCCACTCACTCTCTGTGCCCGACTCTCTCTCCTCACTTTGTGGTGGCCTCTCTCTTCTCTCTTACCTCTCTCTATCGGTGGACCCTCCCAGCGACAGTGGGCCACTCCCTTGGTGCTGGTGGTTGCGCTTGTGGCGGTGGTGGCCCGCTCCTACCCTCGGCCTCCCCAAGCACTGTTGGTAGCGCTCGCACGGAGGCGCTAGGCGCGCCGCTCCTTCCGGTGGTGGATCCGTTGGTGCTTTAGCTGGATCTGCTAGTGGAGCATCTAGATCAATGGTGCGGCGGTGAATCCAGCGACG